AAGGAAGGAAGGAAGGAAGGAAGGAAGGGCTAGGCTGCTGACAACACTGCATGTGGACACCAAATCTCAATAAGCATAGCTTTCAAATTGTCTTCCAGAGCTTGCAGCGAAATGAGAGAAATCTTTAAGTGCCAAATAAAGGAAGGCAGAATCCAGAGAGGTGAGCAAACGGCAAGATAGAACTGAAATGGAGCAAATGCGGCTGGCACAAACTTGCAACTTTGAGACAAATGGCCAGGCAAGGTGAGACGAGACCAAAGGGTGGCCTCCAAGCGGTAAACAACTAAAGGATTCTGTCCTCCTCCAGCCTAAACTTGAGATCTTCCAAGGGACTATATTCTTGGTGTGACAAAGGTAAGCTGCAAACATCTGCCTTCGGGTAGAGAAAGCAACAAAGAAATGTCTTTACTGCTGCTTCTTTTGGGGAAAAATAGCTCCCCCAAAAGTCTGTAGCTACAGGCTAAATGTAAGTTTAGATTTAAAACAAGAGCTGCCTCCTTAGGAAATCCTCAGAAGAGAAGGATGAAGATAATGATTCACTTTAGGTTTTATAAAAAGCCACATATGCATAAATTTTATGCACATTGAATTTTACAGGATATTATAAGAGTAATATAACTACCAAACCTGTAAAGAGAAGTTTAAACACACACATATACACCCTGAAAGAAAAGCCCCTTGATCAACCTAAAATAAGGCAAAATGTATAGGAAAAGCGGGAAAATAACATAATAGAAAATAATCCGTATATGTTGATCACAATAAGAAGAAAAGATTTTAGGCTGGCACATAATTGCAACCCTAGCTACTCAAGAGATCAAGGCTGGAATATTGCAGGTTTGAACCCAGCCTGGTCCGTGTAATGAGACTCTGCCTCAAATTTTTTTAAAAGGCAGAGTGGGTGGAGAACTAGGGATAGAGCTTGGCACTCCCTGGATTTAATCCCTAGTACTAGAAAAAGAAAAAAAAGAAAAGAAAAGGAGGAGGAGAAGAAGAAGAAATGGTTCTAAATGTGTCAGTTAAAATACAGAAATTGTCAAATAGTGTTTTTAAAAATTCATGCATAGTCACATCTGAAAAAGGCACAAAAATTGAAGGTAAACTATCTCTATATAACCAAAATAACAAAAAGATATGTACAGATTAATGCCAAACAAAAGAGAAGGGAGGCACATAACTAGCAGGAATTGTGAGGTACACAACATCACGATGAAAACTGCAACTATTGAGAGCGTAGCACGACTCTCAATGAGTATGTGACAGTCATCACCCGAGAGTCATTGTTGCTTGGGATCAGACGCACAGATGCACCCACATTTAGTATTGTAATAAAGAGAAAAGGATGATAAACACAGGTCCAAATTGGCAGTTCCACCTGTTAGGGAAGGGAGAGGGTTGTCATCATGGAAAGAGAACAGGAAGCTCGCACTGCTAGCAATGTTCTAGATTTCAAGCTGGATGGTGACTAGGCATTCTATTTTGGATATACGAAATACAATTTTAGAAGTTGTTTCTGATGACATTCCAGTCCATTTTATCTAGCACATAGCAGTGCTTCTTTTTGCTGTGTGTGTGTGTGTGTGTGTGTGTGTGTGTGTGAAAAGAATATGTAACATAAAATTTGCCATTTTAGCCATTTGAAGTGCATTTATCAGTGGCATTAAGAGCATTCACAATGGTGTGTAATGAACACCATCATCTCCACAACTTTTCCATGACCTTAAACTGAAACTTCATTCCCTTTAAATAATAATTCCCCCGTAAACACCATTCACTTTCTCTATGAGTTTGGTTACCTCATGTAAGCAGAATCATACAACTTTTGTCCTTCTGCAGCTAGCTTATTTCACTGAGCACAAAGTCTTTAGCTTCATCCATGTAGTATGTGGCAGAATTTCTTTCCTTTTTGAATATGAGTACCATTCCTTTGGATATATCATTTTCTGGTTATTCATCTGTCCATGGACATTGGGATTGTTGTCAAGTTTTGGTTATTGTAATAGTGCTGCTATGAACATGAGTGAATATTTATTTGTTGGAGTCCCTGCTCTCAGTTCTGTTGGACATGTAACCATAAGTGGAATTTCTAGATTGCCTAATGATTGTATTTCAAGGTTTTGAGAAGCTGGAATACTATTTTCCACAGCTGGCTGTACCATTTTACTGTTTCTATTTACTTTGAGAAGATTTTTTAAAATTTGTTGCCTAACTATTTGATTTTCATCCTGATAGTTGCAAAAGCGAAAAGATGGCCCAACCTAATCAAAGACATTTCCATGACAAGAATAGCAATGATAAACCTTTGGTCCATTGATACAGAATAAACTCACCTTTTACTTCACCCTTTTCTGAAAACTTTTATGTCACCACTCTAAATTTGGAGGCAAAGAATAGCTAGTGAGTTTTCCATATCTGTTATCTTTTTTTCAGTGCTCAATCCTTTAACCCTTTGCATTTTTCTCCTCTTGTCATTCTGTTTCCTTGAAAGTCCTAAATTATACCTATTAATTTATTGTAAATATTGTACCAGGTACCATGATAAATATTCTGTGTACATTTTTTCTTTTCTCATTTAATATTTAAAATATCTCCCATCAGGTAAATTATATTATCATCATTTCACAGATGATGGGGCTAAGAAAGGGAATCAAACCTTTACAATGACATGTAAGTAACAAGTGACAGTGGGAGAACCAGAGCGCACACACAGTCTGATGAGGGAGGTGGCCCATTAGACACGTCCTTTTCTTCTGTGGGCTCTGTCCTCTGACAACATATACCATCCTTGTGTTTGTTTTCCTCAGCACTACTTGTCTGCTTCCTTCCATAACTCTTCCTGCAAGAGTTAGAAACCTTCCCCGAAATGTCTTCAGCACCTGGGTTCAGGTCTTTCCATTGCTTTTCTTGGGGATCTCACATGCTCCTCATGGCTCCATCTACCACAGTGTTGATTAGACTTGGTTGAGCATCTACTTCAAACTTCCTGCTGCTTCCAGGATGACCATCGGCTGGGATTCATTGCCCAGCTTTCAGCTGAGTCCCTCTCATTCAGATTCCTTTCCTTCTTTCTCCCTTCCTTCTCCCTCTGTCCCTTCCTTTCCCTTGTCTCCTTTCCTCTCTCCTTTCTTCCCTCTCCCTTTCCTCTTCCTCCACTCTTCTTTTTCCTCTTCTTCCTTCCTCTTATCTCTCCTACTTCCAAGACCAAACCTAGGGCCTTATGCATGCTAGGCAAGCACTCTACCTTGCTACACTCTCAAACCCCCGCCCCCACCCCAATTTTTTTCTACACATGATGCAATCACTATTTCACTCCTTTGGCTTCAAAGCTCTGCAATCATTCATTCTTTTCAACCTGTTGAATCTCATGAAATCCCATTGGTATTGCCTTTAAGTGTGTCTCCATTTTGTTCCTATGTCTGTTCCTTTCTTTTTTTATTTTTTCTCTTTCTTTCTTTCTTTCTTTCTTTCTTTCTTTCTTTCTTTCTTTTCTTTCTTTTTTTTTTATATTTTAGGGAAGGGTCTACAGGGTGTTCAGGGTCTCACTACTAGATCGGGCTCATAGTAATCCACATATTTACAACCTCCCAAGAGCTGGGATTACAGATGCATGCCACCATGCCCAGACTTGTTCCTCTTTTTCTGGTTCAGCCCCTCATCACCTACTGTGCAGCCTAGTGACTGTTGTCCCTGCTTCAGGTCCTGCTCTGGTCCATCTTGTCCAGGGAAGCCAGATCTATCTACTCTACTACTTTTAATAGACAAGAGAGACCTGCTCAAAAAAACAGCAATCAGATCCTGACTTTCAAGGGTCTCATAATTCATACATATCATTTCAGACTAGTTTCTTATGATTAGTTATAACACAAATTTCCAACATAGTCCACTGTGGCCACTTTCCAAGAAAGTACACATCAAACCTTAATTCTTTCTCACCCATTGAGAACACTACTGTACCCTGATTTTTTCTTTTCCTCTCAGTAGGTTGCTATTATTTGAAGGGTCCCTGCCCTTCTTTCATCTCTTTAAACTCTATACATCATCAGGGTTCATTTAAATCCATATTGTGTTTTCCTTAAAAACTTGAGTGGCATCAAATATTGTTTGTTATACACATTTTTATCATTAAATCCTATGCTGCCTTTTATCACTCTGAAGCCCAGCTCACTACCAATGCCCACAGGGAAATGGGTTCCAGGTGTGTCACGAGAGATTTATGGCTGTAAAGTTTTATAGTGATACAGAATTTACAACCATTTTAAAGTCATTCAAAAGTTTACAACAGTTGAAAATATACGTAAATACTTCTTGGCACAGTCAGTAAACTTCCAGATTTCAGTCATTATGGATTTTGTGCTTAAGGTTTTATGTACAATGCCAGCTACCTGCTTCTTTAGGACTTTGTTTTTTGTCCACTCCATTAAAATTTTGCCTGTAAATGATTATTGCAATGTATTTATTAACAATGGTCATCTTTGTGTATTTGTATTTAAAAACATAATTGTTCCTGTGTTCTAATTTGCTACTTTTTCCACAAAGTAGACAAACTGTCTTCATCATCATCCCCACCATCATCACTTGTTTCTACTAAGTCATAATATTGTTCATTTTTCTCAGAAATGACTTGATTTGTGCCTTTATTCTTGGCTTTTGATGTTAATAGATATTTAAAACCTTCTAGGGTTTTTATAATGGCTTGCTTATTATAAAGCTAATGTTTCCTTCTAAAAAGAAATAATGGGAATAATTCCATAGATCAGTAGATACTCTAGCCTTTACTATCTTGTGAAAAACATTTTCAAAAATATTTTTTAAATTGTGTTGATAGCCAGCCAAGGGGGACAGTGTATGCAAGAGTGATGTGGAGTTCTTGTCAGCTCTAACCAGCTGAATCAGTGGCTGGATGAATCGTAGGGCTCCAACAGTCTAAAATAAATAAATAAATAAATAAATAAATAAATAGTGTTGAAATTCTGGCACTTAATAATTAAATACTTCCCAAACCAGCCTTTTACTAGATACTTAATTTTTTCAAAATATTGTGAGATTTATTTTAAAATATTCCTCAGAAAGGACAATATTGACGATTAAAATGGTGGAGTAGAAGCCAGCTGCAAATCATAACTTCTATGAGACATGGAATTGAGACACTGGAAAATGGTGATTTATCAAGGAGAAAGAGAAGAAGAGCTCTTGGACCTAAGAAAGAGTCAACATGAAAGTCAAAGATCATGGAGCAGAAGAAGACAATGCAAAAAAAAAAAAAAAAAAAAAAAAAAAAAAAAAGCATGAAGCAGTATGGAACATTAACTGGCTTATGGGAGAGAAACCTGTCTCCACCAGAACAAGGTAAGTGTATAAAGGGCCAGAAACCCCCATGATGAAAAATGGACTCGCAGCGGTAGCACCAGGAAAAGCCCACATTATTTTAAGCTTCAGATGGAGTGTTGGGTGTAGCTGTCAGAGTGACTCCACATAGCAGACTAGTTTTGGAGAAGAAATGCACTGCAGTGCCCATAGAGGAGTGATACAATCAGGAGCATTTTGATAAAGGGTTTATTGTTTAAGACTGAGCTACTCTGGGAATCAGAAGTTACAGAACAACTATATTTCAGGACCTGTGGGGTCACATTACTGCAGTGACTGGGAGTATGGCTGCCACAAGAAACAGCTATAGAGAGAGGGAGGGCTAGTCACAGAGCTCTTCAGAAGTTTAAGCAGCAGCAAACTCAGGCTGTGGAGACCACACTGGTCCCACTCTCTGGGCGAAGGAACCTATGCCACTTATGTGTGGTTTTCTGAGGGGGCTGAGTCTGCAAGTGCTGAGATTGAATCCAGTGGACTGGGCCAGGGAGATAGCTCAGTAGAATAAGCACTTGCCTGGCAAGCACAGGGTCCTGAGTTCAATCCCTGGTACTGTTAAAAA